CCCCAAAACCCCAAAACCCCAAAACCCCGAGTGAGATAATAATAAATAATTTGCATATTTCAATAAGATAAAAATAAATTGTAATTTCAAAATAATGAAAGTTCAATAAAATTAATTCGTCTCTGTGATAGGAAATTAGGATTAGAACTAAGTATTGAATAATAATTATGTACTGCCTATAGAAGAAGTAAAAATGCGTCAGGTTGATGACATCTCACTTTCTAGAATAAACTTGTATAGCCATCATGATCACACAAACACGTAACTACAGTCCTTTCACAATTGATAAAATAGCAAGAACTGCTTAACATAAAATGATTTTACAGAAGATAACTAGGATTCGCATCAGATTAATGTTAAGGAGGATATTAGTACAACTTATCAGTGATTACCATATCTGTAAATTAGTGATTCACACCACAAATTAGAACTAGGAACCTAAATAATTGGGAATAATTCAACTCATTAAGAAATTTCTTTCAAGAATAATTAGTATGTGGGACCTATCCATCATAAAAATCAGTATAACCATTTTCAGAGAACTCAATACATTGACAAAGAATTGGAAAATATTACATTAAGATAATAAACATTAACTGATAAAGGGAATGAAGAGGACGTTAATAATTATGTTTTGAGAATACCTGGAGGCCCTTACTAAGATTAAAATAACGACGATGAGGAGAAAAAATCTCCTTAATCAAAGAGCTCCAATTCGAACGATCGAAGTTAACCTGATAAACTTCTGAGTAGTCCATCTTAAAGAGAGTAATTTAAATTCTAGCTGAGCTACAATCAGATGAAAAATAAGCATCAATCTGAAAATTTAATAGACAGATTCTAGTATTAAACAGATATTGATAACATAGCGCATAGAATGGAAACACAAAGAGATGAAAAAGTTATAAATAAGATGTCACCTCGTTAAAAGCATAGTTTATAGACATCATCTGTAGGTTAGTATAGTGAATGCGAGATTAGAGATTAAACAATTCATAAAAATGGATTCCAGAGACCTTTTCACTGTTAGCAGGTTATTTCTTGGTTTGATTATTTGATGAATTTGGTGCTTATATCTCTAGCTATTATAGAAATAACTGATAATAATGTTCAACTAGGAGTTGGTTTAACCCTCAATATCGGAATACTTATAATAGTTTTCATTATTGGTGCTCAATGCACAGGCATAGATCCTACTGACCCGAATGTATACTTTGAACGAAACCAACGAGACCAAGGGTAATTAATTTTGTTTATCTTAATAGAAAAGAGATCATCAACACTGATTTTGACTTCTAGTGCCAAGTTTGTGGCACTCATGTCAATAATAGAACTAAGCATTGCGGAGATTGTAACCGTTGTGTCGCAGTCTTTGACCATCATTGCAAATGGCTCAATAACTGTATTGGTGAACTCAATTACAACTATTTCCTTGCTCTTATCTCAACCTACTTGATATATCATGTGTTTGCAATAGCTATTCTGATAAGCCTCTTTGCAAAATGGAATGATGTTCAAAATAATCGCAGTCCAGGCTGGCTAGCCCTGGCTTGTTTTTTATTTCTAATGACTATTATTAAGATTATAGCGATTGGCCAGCTACTATTCTGGCACATGTGGTTTATCAAATATGGTATTACAACCTATGAATATATTCTAGAGCAGAGAGAAATTCTAGATTTAAAGTCTAAATTAAAGGTAAATCCTATAATTATTTTAATTTACAATGATTTCATAGGATGGAATGATGAGTTTAGAGAAATACAAAAGAAAGCTGAGTAAAATAGTTCAGTCTAGGAAGGATCACAGAGAATTCAGAATAAAATCCAGAATAATTATAAAGGCATAGAAGTAGTAATAGGTTAAAAGCTAGCAATCTGCTAGACATTCATCAGAAGGAAATAATCATAACAGCTTTTTCCTCAGTAACTATAACAATAATCAGATTTTAAATAATACAAACTACCAAGGAAATGCTAATAATAACTCAACTTTAAATAATCAACCAGATAAGATTGTGACAGAACGGGCAAGTGGGGACTTGCTAGGGTAAAGTTCAAGAAGAAGCAATCAGTAATAGCAATAGCAATAGTACAATCAGGAAATAGGAATTCTTTAAATTAACGAGAGTGAATCAAATGATGGAAAAGAGAGTATTATAGCACTTGCTGAAAAGATCAAGAGTCAAGAATTTACTGATGATGAGAAAGTTAACATGTATAATGAGTCAGGACCTTCTTCAAAAGAACACTTAAATTAGAGAACAGGGCTAGCTGAATAAAATGAAAGATCTGCAGCTGATTTTCACAACCACATTAACATAGACTCAACAAAGAACCTAATCCATTTCTAGAAGTCAGGAGTAAGTACCTCTCTAAACAGTGCTGTCAGATGGAAAGGATCTAATGTAGAGGCAGCTAATTCAACTCAGCTCTCATCTTCTATAAAGAAACTACAATCTAAAAGGAATAATGCTGTAGTTCCTATTCATGGTACATTAAATGACTCAACCGCTATAGGAGATTCAAGGACTGGAATAAAGAGACTCAACACAGTGGTGGATTAGAAGAAATATTTGAAGATGGTAAGAGGCCTAGAAAATAAAAATCACTCAGTCATCGAATCTTAAAAGCAGAATGCGGATATTCAGCAGATTAAATCTTTGAATGAGTATGAAAATTCTGAGAAGCTTGATTCTAAGGAATTCAAAATGCCTTCTTCAAGATAATAATTAGTGAAGGATTATGAGTCAAATAGAATGTTTAATAGCAAATCTCCAATATATATGCAAAAAGCGTCTGAAAATTCTATGAGTCAGTCACAAAAGCAAAGATCATTCTCAGTTATTGATCATAAATACGAGTAGACAGAGAATAATGAGGAGGACTAGTATTAAATATCAAACAAAAAAATAAAAAAGCAAGCCTCTAAGTACCTTGACAACAGCAACAGCAGAAATAGTAACAACCAGTTTCAAAACAAAAGCATGACTAATAATAACTCATAGAAAAGGAATAAATCTATTTATAACCATAATCAAAAGATATCTGAATCTCTAAAGAAGAGAATGTTCAATAACTAAACACATGGTGACTTCATGAATCTTTACGGAGAGAGAAACAATTAGGTAGACAAGGCGGCTACTTTTGATATGAGACCCTTAGATATAGATGAACTGTATTCTATGGATTTAAATGCCTCCCATAAAAAGTCAATCCTTGATAAATCTTAAATTGATTAACAGAGTCCAATTAAAGAATACTAAGTAAGCAGCAACCCTACCCAGAATGTAGGATCTAGTGCTAAATTGGGTTAAAAAAGAGATTCAAGATAAGCTCCTGGCGTATTCAGCTTTAAAGAAGCGAAGAATATTAGATATGTGCAAAGTTCTCTAGAATGAGACAATTGCAATAAGAATGATAATAAAATTTTATAATTTTTCTTAATTTTTATCAAACTACACTTCCGGGGTTTTGGGGTTTTGGGGTTTTGGGG